GCACCTCACTGATAAAGGCTGTTCAAACAGTTAACATTCCTCTTCCATTCCACTTCAACGAATCACATATTAGTGAAGCTAACTAGTCTGTACTCTTACCCAACTGGCAGGTACAATGAACAGTTAGGCAATGCATGGCCACGTAAGTTATTAGATACATTATTAGTCCTTCTCACTTTGAAAAAGCCAACCAAGGTCAGGGACATAAGATCGGGCACTTGCAGCCAAAACTGTTTTGTACGAAGGATTCTGCACTGAACATTACCTTTTCTTTTAGCATCAGGAAAAACAGTGGTATCATTGGTGTTGTAGGTAAATGTGATGAAGTCCGCCTGGTAAGTTTCATTGGTTTTTGTGAAGTTAACACTCCAAGAGTGACCTTCTCCAAACTGTACTGCCAGAAGTGCAGCTTTTGTGTCATTGCCACAGACGCTTCCATCATGTGTCACATTGGATGACAGGTTCAAGGTTGTGTTTTTCTAGAAGAGGAGGGTAGGCTTAAATGCTTTTACAGACAGAAGTTCTTCCCATGACAATATTATAAACCTGCTGGAGTTACACAGGACCTTGCACAAGATCAGCAGGATTAAGTTGTTCTACAAAGTTAAGAAAAAGGCTCCCTGACATGTGAGTAAGAAAGGAGTCACAGCAGGTTCACGTGCAAAAGTAGAACTCCAACCTGCCTATAAATCTCGGCTGTGCTGAACTACAATCTACATTTACTACCTAGGCTAAGAACATTACTACAGCGATAAAATCCATCAGGTTTACCAATATGTCAATTAAGTAAGTGCAATAGGGCATTTTCAGTTATTTGTATTATTAATTGGGAACTTATGCTTGGTTTTAGAATAAATATTTAGGAATACTCTTAATAACTGACTTAGTAAAAAATGGAAAAGTAACAAACCAAAGGCCCTCAGTGACAGTGTACTTAAACCTTCACTTAGGTCAAAATAACAACTGTCAACAAAAGTTACCTCCAAGTACTTACATAATCACTACTGTTTGTTTCATATGTTATCAAGAATTTCATCATCCAGTTTGCATACAGGCATGTAGCATTAGTGCCATCCTTTACATCTACTTCCACTGCATCAGACTGGAAAAAAACTATAAAATACCATTATTAGCTACTAAGCCATTGCTTTTACTTCATTTTCTAGAATTACTTAAGAGGGCAGCTCACTACATAGCAGTGAATTATTTCAGGGCCGGATTCAATTTGCCAAACACTGCAAGAATAGCTAGATTTCTAAAAAGCATTACAACTAGGAAGCACACCACAAACTTATCAAAACTGGATTAAACAACGAGAGAATGTTGTATAGTTTATTTACCTGACAGAGACTAATAACCTAAATGACCATTAATTTGTGCTGACACACTGAGTGCATGAACACAGCACTTAAACAATATACTGCTGGTAGGCCAGTCTACCAGTGGTATGGCTCAAGTTGACCTCTTAAGCAGTGGGATCAGGGCGCCCGCACTGTGTTTTCTCTCTCTAGACGCAGGGACGTTGAACTCCCTTCACGTTTCCGGGTAACTTCCCACAGTGGTTGGATCGTACCCCGATGAACCCCATTCGCGGCACCCCCCGGGCAGCGCTGCTGTGCGCGGTGGTGGCCGCTGACCCCACGGCCCGAGTCAGGCGTAGGTGAGGAGAGCGGGATGGCGACATCCCCGCCTGCAGCTCCCCACCCGTTGGGAAGCGCCGCGCCGGTGGGCCCGCAGCGAGCAGGCTACACCTGCGGGCGGGCCCTCGGGTGAGGCACACTCGCTACCACCTTGCCCGGCCCCACGGCACTGTGCCACTGCGGCGGCACCAGCAACAGGCCCCGCTCCCCTCCGGGGGTGGCAGCGCGCCGGGGCTGGCCTGCGGCAAACACCGCGGGGCTGGGGCGGCCCCAAGGCCTGTGAGGGCCGCGGCAGCCCCGCGCCCGACCGACCGTTGCCCGACGCAGCGTCACGTGCGCGAAAGGGCGGGGGAGGGGGCGGCACGCGCCAGCGGGGACACCTGCCCCCCCTCCTCCCCCCGCCCGTCTCCGCCGCCACCGGGTCCCGCAGGACCGGGCACGGCCGCGCTCACCGAAGGTGCCGAGCAGCAGCAAGAAGAGCGGGACGAAGGCGCGCCGCGGCCCCATGCTGACTGTGGGCGCGCCGAGAAACAGCGAGAGCGACCGAGCCCTCGACAACGGTCATGTGAGGGGAGGGGCGGGGCGGCGCCGCCAATCGCCGCGCCGGGGCTCGATTCCATGGGTCGCGGATGGGTTGCGCGTCGCGTACCGCCTCGGGCGGGCGCTGAGGGAGCGGCCTGGGCCCGGCACGAGCGTGTTGACGGCGGTCTGGTTCGCCCCCCGGCAGCCGTTGCTGTCTCCAGAAGGGCTTCTGTAGGTTGTGAAGGCTGAGAGAAGATGCGCATCGAGAGAGGTTTAACAGAGAGGCCTTCGCTGCCACAAGTAAAGAATTAAGCTGTTTTCCATGCATACAATCAGTAAAAAGAGGGAGAAACGGATTAAATTGAACTCAGTGTTTAAGTCAGTGGTGCAGGAGCGGCAGGGCAGTGCAGCGGGCTGCCATGCAGGGTCATGGGGGCTAGGACATGGCTCTGCTCAGCCCTGCCGTGGCTGCGGGTGTCTCTAGGTCTGTCAGGGCTGCGCCCATCCTCTCGGCCAGGGACGTCCTCGGGTTCTCCGGAGACTCTGCCTCCCCCGTGACTGGGCAGAAACCCTTCCAGCCATGGGCTCTGTAAAGCTTCCCTGCTTTAGGGAGGCCGGCACTAGCTGGCAATAGCACAGGGAACTGGGACGCTTTGCTGTGATTTAGCCAGGCCTGCAATGTAAAACGTGGGACAGAAAATGGGAGAAAGCAGCTTCCTGGTGCAAATGAGGGAGAAAAGAGGGAGAAGATGTCAGTGGACAGGAAACCTGGTGGATCTGAGACTTAACGGAGGTGTAAAGTGTGGTGGATGTTGGATTGCAGCCTGGAGGATGTTGATGAGGGAAAAAGAAGCTGGCTTGGCAGAGAAAAGGGAGACGGGAAGAAGAGTTTGAGGCCAAGAGACAGGAGGGAAAATGGCAGGCAGATGCTCAGCTGCCTGAGGAGACTGGAGCTCTAGACTCAGCGAGGAAGGGCCCTCATTGAATAGCATATTCCTGGTTCTGATGCTGGGGGATATCTGCAAATAGTACTTTGAATAATCAGGCATTTAGAGATATCCCCAGTCATGGGGAAATGAAATCTAAGCTCTTGAAGAAGACAGTCAAACACATTGACCTGATTGAGGCAGTTGGAGTGCAGGTGGTGTTGATAGGAAAGCGGTTGTGAAGAGTTGAGGAAATGGAAATAATGCAATCTGTGATTAAATGTCAGTTAAATTCTCTCGGCTGTATACTTGCAATAGTGTACTTTCCCAAAGAGTGCCACAAAACCAAACTTGGCAGGCCAGGACCACCACTGCAACCAGTGGTACTAATGGGGCTTCCGCACACAAACACTTGTGTGGTCAGATGTGTTCACTGCTTCTTTGCTTTTGTTTTTGTGCTTAATAACTGCATTAGAACCAACTTACCTTGTGTATTACATACCCACACATGCGTCTGTTTGAGCATTGTTGCATGTGGAGAAATAAACTTTATATTTAATAACTGAGCCAGCACTTGCTGTAGGCTGTGGGGGAGCATCCAGTAACAGCAGCACAGATGAAACCACAGATTCTGAAGGCAGCAAGCTGTCTGTCTTCACCGTGAAGAATGGGGCATTTCAGAAGCCAGGGAGAGTCCTGCTGCTGGGGCTTTTACATCTCCTCAGGCTTCACTGTTTTAGTGCAAAGTCCTGTGTTTAAAAAGTGATCTATCAGGGAGTTAGAAGCAATTGCACTAAGAGGATTTCACTATTAAGAGAAAGACATTAGGAGAAAGAGCACAGAATAAAAGTAGCAACTGATGTGGTATTAAAAGAGAAGTATAGTTTATGTAATTTAGCATAATGAAAAATACATTGTTTTGCACCAGAAAGGTCATCATTAACATCAGAACACAGAATTATTTGTTTGCATCTGATTGCTTTGCCCTCCAGGTATCTCCATCCCTGCCTTCCATAGGCACTTTGTGGTGTTACAGCATCTTACTGTGATCTTAGCAGGTGTATGGCTCACTTCTTCTTTGCTGTATCAGTAAAGATAGAAGAAAGCGCAGTTCCTCCCTTGGAGCTGTGTAAAAACAGTGTATGCACTAATCCTGATTTCAGTTAAGTCAGTACCAGACTGGCTATAGGAGTAGCTTAATGAAAAGGTGAAGTTGTGTGAATTCAGAGACACTGAACTGGTGGTTTATTTTCATTATCACACGGTATCGCAGGGGACAGCGATGTGCCTGTGGTGTAGGTATGTCAAGGCTGGCCCTAGCGACAGTGATGAGGTGGCCACAAAGGCTGCCCAAGGGGTTTCTGCCCTTGTGTGGGGTCCTTGGGGAGACCAGGGGATCAGATTCCACCTGCTGGGAGCTGGTACAGGCACCTTGCGTTCATATATACGATAAATCTTGCCCTGCAAAGCCTACATGCTGCAGTGGTCTGAATGTGTTAAAAGGCTGTTAAAAACAATGTGCTTTTGCATTATTAGCACAGTGATAGTCTCCTCTTGCCCAGCCAGCTGTCAGAAGCTCCGTTTTGGCACTGTTCTCTCTAGATAGAGATTTTTTTGGGCAGGTCCCAAAGACTGCCTCCTGTTTGCAGGGAGCAAAATGGAACTCTGTTCCTCTCGTGACTAACAAATCCTCCAGCTTCCTCCAGAAAAAAAAAAAAAAAGGAAAAAAAAAAGTAGTGGTTGGGTTCAGATGTTGTCTGATTCCTCTGGAATTCCATGGAAAGCTATGATATTCAGTACTTGTAGGATTCAACCTCAGTGTTAACACTGCATCTTATTTAACACAAGTAATTTCTTTGTGGACAGTGGCAGTCTTAATGGTAAAATTTGTGTGACAGTCGGACTGTAGTGGCAGAGGGAAGTGTGAATGGTTGTTACCATGATGCAGAGAAGATGCCTCAGCCTTTTGCTTACTGGAGAGAAATGATTTTGGCGTGATTTTGGGAGCCACTGATGGATGGCAAGCTGATCGTGCTTTTCTGGGATGTTCCTTATGTTTATTGCTGGCTGTGAAAACGAGGACTGAATGTTTCTGTATGGCATTACATTTTTGCTGCATGTTATACTTAGTCTGGTGTCAGTAATTTTAAGAAGGTGATCTGTTCCCATGTACTGAGAACAAATATGCAAAACCTTGTGATTTCTTTTTAAAGCTTTGGTTTATCAAGGAACATAAGTTCATGCCTAATTTAAAACATATCAGCTGTTCTGTGACTGCCATTCTCATCGTATTTTTGATGTCCAGCATATACTTAATCCTTTGTGAGCCCTTCAGCAGTTTCAGCTGGTTAGGTACTCTATCTGTAATCAAATTTTCCTCAACCCAGGGACTTGCAAAAATTGATGGATGTGTGGGGGCAGAAGCAAAGTGTCCACTGTTTAGTGAAGCACTGAGTAACTTCATATTTCTGATTGCTGGTGCAGAAGAGTACAGCTTGTGATAAAAAGAATGAAGAGGAAATAGCTAGGACATGCAGTAATCACTATTTTATTCTAATTATTTTTATTCATTCTCTTAAGATGTCTCTCTAAACAACACGGAATTTTCTGTATTTTTCCAGGGACAAGATTGTGCCAAAACAAATTACTCCTTTCCCGGTGGCAGAGGACAGGTTTGGTACCATTTCACATGGGAAAGCCGGAAAAAGGAAGAGATTAACGCCTCTTAGACAGGTCACAGATTCACTTGGCCCGGGAGGATGAACCACAGGGGCCTTCTTGGGATCGTGCCAGCAGCTGTGAGAGTTACAGCTATGCACCTTCTCATGCAGACCGTTTGTAACCTGGGGATTCGCACACCGTAACGAAGGCCCTGCTTTGCCCAGCATAGTGTGACACCTGCAGCACTTGAGCTGCGTGTGCTGCGGAGGGATGGCTCCCGACAGCTCCGCTCCGCTGGCTCTGCAGAACGACTTCTCTGAAGCGTGTGAAAGCTGCGGCTCGCTGCGCTGGAGCAGATGGCAGTGCTTCTGAGGTGACCGGTTTCTGGAGGAGGTGGTGGTGGGAAACCAAACCATTAAACAGAGCCGCAGCAAACTGCTGAGTCAAGGCTGGGGCAATCACGTGAAATGCCAAAAACAGCAGCGGTGGTGGGGCCGCGCAGGGTAGGGTGCTGCAGCCACCGCGGGCTTCCTGCAGGAGCGCGCTGGAACGCGGTGTTGCGACACAGCGGGAACAACGCAATCCCCGTCGAGCAGGAAGAAGCCCAGGCAGAGGCGGCGGTAGCTTGTCACAAGCCTGTTACACAAACACCGCTCGCGTACGTGCTGTTTGGTTTGATCACACGCTGGGTGCCTGGGGAGCTGGTGCAGCCGGTGCTCCTTCGCTGACCCACACGGGGACAGCAGGCCGTGCTGCAAGGTGCAGGGTTGGGGTAGGCTGCCACGCTCAGCAGCGTTTCCAGCTGTTGCTGGGTGCGACGTGTACCAGGGCACTCAGCAGCTGGGTTACCATGTGGCAGCTGATGAGATCTATGCATTTCGTGAGTCATGCCAAACTACTTCTAGATGTAGATCTGTTTAACGTGGGGAAAAAAATCGTTTGACTGACAGCTCAACACGTTCTTTGGGCTTGTAAAAGCAGAGTACAAAAATGTCAGTTTTGTGTCTATCAACATACATTGCTAACTTGCTGGAGATACACATCTGTCAGCTTCAGAGCACAAGTCATGTGAGAATGGCTCTGCTCACGAGCCACCTCCCACTTCAACTCTTATCAAAGATGTGTTGGCTGTAACTGTTCTTGAGAAAACTCAGCAGCAGAGGAAGTTATATCTAAAATACAGGGCTGGAAGGGAGGCTGTCTTATATAGTCATTTTAATATCTGGATATTTTAACTGCAGGACTGCAGTGCCGTGACCTAGAATAACATTACACCCCTTTTACAGAGAGCACATCAGGGCAGATGATATATGAAATAACCATATATGTAATTAACCATATATGTAATTAGTCTACAGTTTCCAGCTCTGACAGAGATAGAAAACCACGTCTGGCGAACCCCGAGTTAATGCCTGTTCACTTCATTGTCCTGAGCAACAAAACTCTTCCGGGGAATGATCTCACTCCAGTTTGAGGCTTCCTGTCTGCTTTTGGAGCTCGGATTATGAAGCAGCAGTGTTGCCGTAGGAATAACAAGGAAGAAACTGAAGGGATACTGTTGTAGATTAAGCCCAGCCTGCCAGTAAATGTTCTCAGACTGAAACCAAAATACAGCTCTGTACTAGTTACTAGGAAGAAAATGAACTCTTATCGAAACTGAAACTAGGACAGATACGCAGGATTGCAGCCCTTCGGTTGCAGAACCAGTTCTCCAGAGGATGGAGTCTGACCTACCCCCTGGTGGCAGCCTGCAAGCTTTACCTGCACGGTGACAAGGTTTCAGCTCACCTCTGCAGAGGCTGTATTTTGTAATCTGTTCCCATCTCATGCCTAAAAGCTGTACCTCTTCCCCAGCACACACGTGGCAGAACTCGGTCTGCACTGTGTCTTGTCCAGGTTCTAATCGTAATTAGTAGAGCAGCCTTGCTTTGAGCCTTAACCTAGCACCAGCTGAAGGATTTTCTTGATACAGTTAAGGGACTGCTTTTGAGAAAGGTATCTGCTTTTGACCATAGTAACAAATTGTTCTCAGATACGCTTCAAGTTTTGCAGACTACACAGTGGTAAAACAGAACATGCATTGTGGCAATTCCATGAGAGTTTGGTCTGGGAGGGGAAAAGAGCTGCATATTAAGTGAACATTTTACTAATAATCCAGCACTGATATTTCATGCTGTATTATAACTACTTCCCACTCCACGTGGTACAAAGAAATCCATTTCATGCAATCTTGGATGCAATTTGCTTTGCATACTTAGCCCTCTCAGTCTGCAATGTGATAGTGATTAAGCTTTGCAAAGAAGCATCACAACCTTTGAGCCCTGCAATGGACAGGGCATTATTAGAGTCTGATCCTGACCCTCTGCCTGCTTTAATTGCAAAAGCATCTAACGTTGGATCTACTGGAAAAGCAGCTACTGCAACCTCCTTATTACTGAAAATACCATTAGATGGAGCAGAACCTCTAAACTTACCCCTTCTTGAAAAGGCAAAATTTTGTACCTTTTACAGCTACAAAGCAAGTTACAATTACTTCAGCACTTTAACACAGAAGTACCTAGTGACATCCCTATTTTCCTCCAGCTCTAAAATAGAGGCACTGCAAGCTGACAAACTGATTATTTTAAGGAGTAAGTTAAAGAACTACCATTGATGTTGCATACTATATTCTCTCTGAATACAATTTGGCATTAATAGCTTAGCATTAGCCACTAAAGCAGCTGAAGCCTTCAGCTACAAGAGCTCACCAAGCATAAACTTTTGATAAAACTAACGCTGCTAACAAAGAACCCACTGTGTGCTGCAGATATAAGTGGAATGAAAAAGATAAGGACAATTCCAAAAGAGTGAAGTAACTTCAGGAGGCAGCCAGCCCAGCATCAGTGAAACCCACTGAGAAATCAAGAGAAATCACTGACAAGAATTAGGTGCCTGGATTGGGGATGGGGTGATTTGTGGAACGGGTATAACTGGGAAGCATGAGCTGGGGTAGGGGCCCTTCTCTGGAGGCACCCAGCTCTGACTGAAGAACTATTAAAAGACTAATTGGAAACCTTCACTCGGACTTGGCGTTCTCAGCAGGATCCTGCAGTCAGACCTTGTTATGGTGCCAGCTGTGTGTAAATGCATAACAGTAAAAATTTAGTATTTACTGGATGTGAACTCCTTTTCTGAAGTTTAAGGAAAAGGCTTCCTCTATGGAGCTGCAATGTCTTACTGATGTTAAAACATTAACTTTCAAAGTTACTTTTCTTCTTGAATTCTCATCTTAATGCTTATTTCCCATAAGCAGCAGCAAGACAAATTTTAAGTCATTTAAGGATGACTCTTACAGGAGATGAGCTTGTATCAGGAAGCGGTTAACCAGAAGAACTTGCTCCATTGTAGGCTGATCAACATCCACTGCTCCTCTTCCCAATTAACTCTGTATTTTACAAGATACCTGCATAAAGTCCAGTGGCTCAACCCCTCAAGTAAGTTTTCAGGTGCTTGTTTTCTAAATAGCACAATATGCCCACAAACCCTTTCCTCTTAAAAGGAAAAAAACCCAAACAACCCCCTAAGCAAGGCAAATCCAAATCTATTGCCTTAAATTTAACTTTGCAACAGTTTCGCTCAAAATCAGGAGAAAGAACGGCAATGTATATTGCACTTTATACAGTAACAGAAAGTATTTTCTGACCTCTGGGAATATGCTCCTGTATGATTAATTTCTAGCAACAAAATTCTGTAGGATTGTGAAGAAATAGGAAAAACTCTTAAGAAGAAATTGTTAGTGGAAAAATCATCCCATGCATTTAAATGCCTCCACACTGTAACAGAACACACACACGTGAGCAGCATTACTGGAAGACATTCACCATTCCGATTCAAACCCACCACACGAGGGGTTACAGCAGTGCTGTGCAAGGTCAGCCTCCCTGCAGCATACACGCCTTCAGGAGAGATCAGTTTGGAGCATCGGCTTACTGTGCCATAGCTCTCCCATTCTCAAACCACCCCTCCAGAGCCTGGAAAGCAAGATTAGAACACCCTGCCACCCCTCTCCAGAGTCCTCAGAGCACCTGCACCAGGAAGGGCCTGAAAATACCCAACAAATTCTGATTTAGGCCAGTGGCTCCAAACGGCTGAAGAAAAATTAAGAATGGCCCAGTTGGTCATCACCAGTAACAGAAACAGGTTCCTTGTCCAGCCCTGTCCTGTACTTCAGTAATTGTGCCACAGCCATTAAAAAAACGTACTAGCTTTACTGGGAAACAAGGAATAATCATACAGCAGGAGAGAAGCCTCCTGTACTAGCAATGAGCCAGCAGCTTTGGTAGTGTGGCACCATTTCTGGCACTTTACACATTCTAATCCCAATTCAGTTTGTAGGATGTTTACTCCCTTCCTCCCCATTAACCTGATGGAAGACTTGGTAAAAAAAAAATAAAATTCAGGAATGGAAGCCACTTAGAAAACTCAAGGGATTTTAATGACTGAATAAAGGAGGAATTGGTGATTATTATACTTAAGTAGCAAACAAGTATTTTGCTATCAAAGCACAAGCTAAAGAATTTAAAGAAGCCACAAACATTAATAAGCCCAACATACAGAACTTTGAGTAAGAAGGCATTTTACACACAGGGGTTTATCAACACAAAACTGTTTTAATATTTATTAAATGACACAAAATACCTAGATAACAGACTCACTCTCTGAAAGGACATGTATTTACATTATTTACCAACTTAAGAAAGACTCTCTGTACCCATATCAGACTTATGAAACATAAAAAAGGTTTTGCTGCTCTTTGCATCGAAGGATGCAATGGTGATACATGCCCCGTTTGCAAGTCTGCATAAACTATAACTTTGATGCAGTGAAAAAGCACAATTTCATATCCTGGTAGCTGAGGGAAGAGGCTTCTGAAAAGTAACAGGGTTAGTTTTCTTCCCCACTCCAGACACACTCTGAAGAACTGTTATACAAAAAGTATATTACATTTTTGAATGCTGCTGTACTCTTACAATTTTAGTGTAACGTTTCAAAGAAAATATTCTTCCTACTATATGAAATCACTAAAAAAGTGGTATTTGAACATTTCTTTAGATGCACTTTTTTTTTTTTTGATTTTTTTTTTTAAAGAAAGCATTGGGCAAATGATATGTCTGGGAAAAACTGAAAGGCTGAAACCCCCCCCAAAAAAAACCAACCCCAAAAAAGAGCAGAGACCAAAATTCGAAGAACAGCTAAAGCAATGCAACAGTTTGCTTGGGTTTGGGGGATTTTTATTAACTATTTACTTTGGCACCTTTGTGTAAACTATAGAACAAAACAACACTTACAACACATTTGCAGTTACAGCATTTAAACAAAATGGTCACTTTTTAAACCAGCCAAGACAAAAAAATAGTCCATTTATGGGTATAAAGATTAAAAAACCTAAAATATATATTT